GCAGCAACAAGAACTTGGAAGATCTGAACTATTGGACTCCCCAAGCTTTTCTTATACCTGTATCTTTTGGTCCCAGATAAAAATATCAAGACGGCTACAAACATCGAAACCGAGCAAATTCCATAAGCTCAGCTTCGACCAACTTCATCTTGTATGTAAACAAGCACCGTGACAGCCATCAAGGTTCCATTATTGATGAAGAAGAAGAACCTGTTGAAAAAATAAGCCATCTGGGACCTCTCCTTCTCATCCTTTTCATCAAATTGATCGGTTCCGAAACCCGAAACACTTGATTTCAGACCACCAGTGCCTAGTTCAATTACATATATAGTCAGGTACAAAATTCCCATCTGAAATCCATTGGCCGGTTTGCATGCATGGGGAGCAGCAGATCTATTGCATGGTGCTGGGCGTAACTGTGGCAGCTTTGTAGCCGATGCTATGTGCCAGTCCCCTAAATCACCATAACATCATCACAGTCAAAAACTGAACAAATTAAGGATCGAAATCAACATTTTTGTTCGATTCTTTTTATGTTTATCGAAACTTTAAACTCCCACCAGTGGTTGTATAAGGGAAAATATAGCAATTGTCATGTATCGTCCGAGGAATGAATCAGCAAGGAAACCACCGAGCAAACACAAGAGGAAAGATGTGCCCATGGTTGAAAGCCTCCCGCAAATCTCAATCCCTGTGAAAATGGTTTCGACTCGATTTACTTCATTTACAATATAAAGATTCGAACCTAACAGAGTCATAGTCTAATTGATGTTAGTAAAAAGTGCATATATAATAATGTTGTAAAGGTGAAGTCATGTAATATGATGGTCTCAATAAGTAATTTCATGTATGAATGGCCCTACATATAGTATCATCCTTGTCCCATACTCCAAAAAGAAAATGACGTGAATTTATCACCATTGTTTTGTAAGTATCTATGAATTGCAGTTCTGATGGGTCCCACACATGTTACTCAAATTCTTGTTGGTGCTGAATTTACTTGAAAACTTAAGTTCATGTGAAAACCAGCTCAAGAAATGAACAAACAAACCTAGAATGAGTGCAGCCGGAATCCAACCACCGGTATTCGATCTGTCAGCCGGGAAACCCTTGTAGTCCAACGCATCCGCCACCGTCAAACTCATCTTCCCTTCCTGATAAAAGGAAAAAAAACCACCAACAAAGTATTTCAGAAAGAATTGAATCAAACAATCATGTTTATAAAACAAAGGAGAACAATGGGTTGTCAGCCATTATCATACTATATATATAGTCATGGAAACTCAAACTGACCGATTTTCTGAATGTTTCAACAGCTGAAGAAACGACCACAACAATGATGAAAAAGTAACTTCAACTCCAAACTTGGAAGTGTTGGAGAGTGGAGACTAGTTTCCCATTGAATAGGCAAGTTTGGAAGTTAAAACACCTATGAAGTGACCCTCCACAAAGTAAATAGGACAGATTATTGGTCTTGTTCTTGTTGGTGGATGGCTCTAAACCATTGATATTGTTGGCAGATATGTTTATATAGGGAAATTTCTAAAGGCGATGGTGATTGAAGACGGTACAAGAGGAGAAATGGAATCTGTAACATGCAGGATTTAGGAGTTTGTGAAGGTGGTGAACCACAGCACCGTGGCCATACGCTTTGTTTAGTGCGTTCTATACCCCACATCCCATGAAAACCTCACCGCCTGCACTATATGACGATAATGTCATACAAGAGAGGCCTACAAGGAGATAAAGCAAAGGCTTACCTGTTGATGTTTGACCCCTTTTTTTGACATATAAAGACTGTTGCAATAGATATATTTTACAGGCAAAGCGTCAGTTCTTTATGCTTTTTGAGTGTCGATTTTGATTAAAGAAGTGCTGCCGACTTACTTAATTGAGAGAAGACTCATCATGAAAAGCTTACAGGTGTTGGATCCCAGAAGTTTCCTTACCAAAAGTGTCTCTTTTTTCTTCTTGTTCACATTTTTGTATCATCTCAATTGCAGGTAATCTTCATAGATATTAATCATGGATAAGTCCATGTGCAGAGGCAATCAAACAAAGTGTCCTAAATCACACGTAAGGGGTGATAATAATCACAGAAACGCTTACAATGCAGCCTGCACACGTAGCAGCACATGCAGTACTCGAAAACCGATTCAATCAGACCACTTGGTTCATGAAAAAAGACTCCCATAGGGCCCCTTCTCTGTTCACCCTCTTCCGTTCGCCTGTTAAAAATTCGTTATTTTAATGGTTAAATAGCATCGACACCGCTTTATTAAGAGCCGGAATCTTGTCTCTTTCTCTGGTTATAAGAAGCAGCATGTGAAATCTTAAACTGTATCCAAAAGGCTTAATGTTCAGGCCTCAAAATTAACCTCCAAGAAGTTGAAACACATCATTTTGGTCTCTAGTCTTGCATGAAATTTTAGCTGCATTCTCAAATGACACGATCATATATGATTTAGTGGGCAGTAACTATTTCTCGCCGATAGTGACAAGTTTTTTTTTAATAATCTAAGGTGATTACAAGGTAAATTTACTCTAACCCAGAATTTCAAAAGAAAATACCGTTCGCTTTAACCATTGAGTCCACTAGATGGATTCAGTAGCACGTTTTTGTCAGCTGTGCTGTGGCACTTTGATATTGTACCGATGGCTGGTGTTGTTGGGACCAATGAGAGCCACAAGCTGAGAATAGCATGGTGTTGTTATCCAAAAAAGGCAGAAGAAGCTTGGTGAGAAGAAATGCCTCTCAGCCTCTAATCTTCTTCACCAGTTGCACACACACTGACATCATCATCATCACACAAATATCAAACGAGAGTGAAGTAGCTGTTGTATTAGGTGGTGCCACAGAGTGTGTGTATTTGTTAGCGTGTACGTATCAAAATGGAAGGATGTGGGGTAATTTTATGCAGAAGTGACAGTTTATCCCCAAATGTTTAGGAGGTGTTTTATATCAAGGATTGTGGCCGGGAATCTCATTCTCGGTAATGTTTTATTATTAATAGTAGATTTTTTTTGGTATATTACCAGGAATGTCATTACCTCCATTCCCTTAGGTATTATAATATTACCGGCGTTTTGGACTAAAATGCCCTTAAATTTTTATTTTTTTCAAAAATATCATTCATCTGTCATTGAATAATAAAAATTCTACGAAGGTTAAATTATAAATTTATCCTTAAATTATTTTAGATTTACAAAAAAAAAAATCTATAATTAAAATTTTATATAAAGTTCAATGGTTAAAAAAAATTTACCCTTTCATTAAACCTTTTTTATATTTTTAATTTTGTAAAAAGAAATTATATAAATATTATGAATTTAATTTTTTAAAGAAAATAATATATAAATATTTTACAATTTGTAATATTATACAAATATATAATAAGGACTATTTGGTCAAATATACATTCCAATAATCTTTTATTCATTTAACCAAACACGGTAATCTTACATTCTGCTAAACCAACCAAACACAAACTATTCCCTGATAATATTTTATTCCCACTGGTAATCTTATATTCTGTAAACCAAACGAGAGTGATTTGTTTTATGAGCATGTAAGGTTGAAAGAGCAGCAAAATGAAAAAAAGGGTCCCCCAGTCCCAAACCCCAACCACATTTCAGACCTGGTCCCAAAGAACATGAATAAAGAAACAGAGACGACAAAACGATCTCCCATCAACGTGAGCTGCAGGATTCGAACCTGCGCGGGCAGAGCCCACATGATTTCTAGTCATGCCCGATAACCACTCCGGCACGCCCACCAGGTTGAGACAATCGTCATGCTCAAACTATGCCTATTTTAGACATAATTTGAGATGAATAAGACTCATCTCTAGTCATGCTCGATAACCACTCCGGCACGTTACACTTTTTTTATAGGTAAATTGCATCATTCGTCACTCAATTATCTTCTCATTCCTATTTTGGTCACTCAAGTTTAATTTTTTTAATTTAATTACTTAACTTTTAAATTACTCCTAATTTAATCACTCTAATTTTCAAATTTATTTTTTATTTTTAATTATATCTTAATAAAATAATAATAAAAAATATCATGTCTCAAAACTATTAATAAAATAAATTAGAGTATTAAAATAGGAGCAATTTAAAAGTTGAGTAGTTAAATTGAAAATTTTTAAACTTTAATATTAAAATAGGAGTGAAAATAATTGAGTGATAAATAATATAATTTTACCCATAAAAATGTAGTCGATAAGTTTTAAAGACGATGTACTAAAATAAAATAAAAACTAAACACTAAACATAATTTTAAAAAAATTAAAAATTGAAGTACTAAAATAAATCAAAACTGATAATTTAAATACATGTTATACAATATCTATATAACTTTAATTCTTATTTTAACAATAACCTTTTTTTATAATGTAGTCTTTTAACTTTACATTTTATTTAATCCGAATTTTTATTATAAACAAATTTTACAAATTCTTTTTCCACGTATCAACATTTTGTACCCACGATATTCTCTTTAATAAAGAAAAATTATAAATATATTTTATAATATTAAATGATATTTAATTTATTAAATAACATTATAACATAAAAAAATATAAATATTTATATTTATATATATATATAAAGCCAATCCATATTGTCATCTTACATAAGTGAATTCGATCAAAAATTTGACTCAAATTTCTTAAAATTGACTCGAGACTAAAAAACTTATCATTTATCGACTCTAAATTTTGAGTTGACTCGATCAAATATTTCACCCTAGAGACGGACAACACCAAGAATCATCTAAAGTGGGAAATTCTTCAGCCAATAACCTTTCTCCAACAAAATTTTGCAAAAACAATTTCTTAATCCCATTGTAATGCAATTGCTTGTGTGTGTGTGACATAACAGAACATAAAAACATATGAACTGGCTACATTAAAAGACACAACTTTATCAGTTTCCTCAATTCATAGGAAAACATAAAAGACACAACAATCACATTTACGGTCAAATTATAAATTAGATGTTCACTTGTGGCACACCTTCATCAGTCAAAGCCTCTAAAGGACCGACAACCACAATCCGAGAGGCCCGTCGCACCGAAAATGAGTTTTCATAAGATTCTCTAGATCAAGAGCTTCTCGATAGCATCCTACATTACACAAACGAAAAAAAAACATAAGATGCAGAAGCATATTCAGCCCCAAAGGGTGCAAAATATCATAAACTTTGCAAGGTAACATGTTGTACTAGAAGGCCAAGTACCTTGAGTTGTTGTATTTGGGATTTCAATTGGCTTCCTTCGTTTGTTGTGACAGAACATGAAATTACAGGTCTTGTGACCCCACATGCTCGTCCAAGTGCTTTCTTTGAAGGAACAAACACATAGGGGACATTCTGCAAAAAAAAAATCAAATACAAACTTAACTATTGTGCTCAAAATCTAGGCGATGAATCAAGGTGTTGTAGCAAAGATTTTGGACATGGTATCTGCCCCCATTATTATGTGAGGTACACAATTCCAATGGCAAAATCCACGAGATAATGTTCTCTAAATTTTTATTTCACGGTATAATGCTTTGGAAATATTATTTGTTGAGATAGTGTGAATTCTACAGTGAAGCTGTAGTGCATGGCGACCTACGGCTTCACTGTAGAATTCACACTATCTCAGCAAATAATATGTCCAAAGCATTATATCGTGAAATAAAAATTTAGAGAGCATTATCTCGTTGATTTTGCCCAATTCCAATAGTGCAGAGCAAAGAAAATAAGCTAAATTCCGCGTTTAGTACCTAAACTAATCTGTTTTAGTACTAAACTTTCATTTTTTTCAAAAACATACATGACGTTCAGTTTTTATTTTATTTTAATACCCTTAAACCATTTTAGTTCCTAAACTTTCAAAACTCATGGGGTAGTCAAATGAAACAAAAACTAAAATTTAAGTATGGATTTGAAAATTTTGAAAGTTTAAGTACTAAAACGGACTAAAACTGATAGTTTAAATACTAAATCCGTAACTTAAACAAGAAAATATACATATTCCATAACGCAATTACCTTATCTTCAGCAAGCAAAGGAAGGTGGAGCAAAATCTCAAGGGGCTCGGTATCCGCAGCCATCACAACGAACTCTGAGATACCTCTGTTTAGGGTCTTGGTAGCTGAATCCCAAACAAACTCAATCAAAAAAGAAAAAGAAACAAAGAAGAAGATCAAGAGAAATAAAACCCATATCGGAAACGATAACAATGATTACAATAATCCAAAAAAAATATGGAAATGGATATTGTTTACTAACCTTCATTAGCTCCCTTTTTGAGCTGCTTGTAGTTGGCAGCTTGTTGAACAAGATCTAAAATCGTTGTTGTCAACTGAGCATCGGCTAGTGGGTATGCTTTGGGGTTCACAGGTTCTCCAGTCTACAAAAAATACCAGAGCCAATTGTAAGATATAATGCATAGATAAAACTACACGAGATTAAAGAAAGAGAGAACCATTATCATTCTTCTTTTTGAGAAAACAGAGGAAAAAGAGTAAACTAGGGTTTTTGCTCGATATATTAAAAATTGGCTCTAGGGTTTACGAGGGAAATTACGCAGATCTCTTATATTAATAGATAGAGTAAACTAAGCATTTAGTATCTAAACTTTTAATTATTTCAAAATCATAACAAATATTTAGTTTTTGTTTTATTTTAGTATCTCACCGGTAAAACTTTAGCTTTTGTTTTATTTTAATGTCCATGTTCTCGTGTTCAATATCTAAACTATCAGTTTTGATCCGTTTTAGTACCTAAACTTTTAATTTTTTTCAAACATTAACGTTAAATTTTGAACATAGATACTAAAATGACACAAAAACTAAAATTTTTAACGATATGTACTAAAATGAAATAAAAACTAAGTTTTAGGTATTATTTTGATAAAATTAAAAGTTTAGATATTAAAACGATCAAAATTGATAATTTAAGTTTTAAATGTATAATTTACCCTAATAGATGTTGCAACTCAAATTGAGTCCAACAATTATGAGTAGGGATTGGCATGGATCGGTTCGAATCGGGTTTTCGACCAACCTGACCCAACCCAAAAAATAGATCTTCTCTATCTGATCCAAGTTTAGAGTGACTTTCACCCGACCTGAAACCTGAATCTTATTTTTTAAGTGAAACTCGAATCCGATATGACCCGAAATAAATATATTTATAAAAAATATTAATTTTATTCGATAAAATAAAGATATAATTGAAAAATAATATGAAGATGAGTATTTTTACAATTATCTTTAAATATATAAAATAAAATAATATTATTTTTTAGATTAGAGCGAATATTTTTCACCCAAACTCCGAAATTAATCCGGCTCACTTTTATTCTAAAAACTTAATCCAACACGAACCCAAATTGTTTTAGAAAAATCAAACCCGATCGATCGAATAAGATCGAAATCCGCCGATTTCGGATCGCGTGCCTATCCCTGGGGATGAGCCTGGTACCCGAAGGTCAAGTCAAACACTCAAATTCCAAACTCATTCCTTTCTTTTTATTGTTTATTTTTCAATTCCATTCTTAATTTGCAGGGCGTTTCGTGAAGATCATCAATGGGTTGGCTTGAAGAAAACATGAAATCCACTCAAATTAGACATTCTCTCTCAAGCCATTAGCCTCGGCGCGTTTCCCCTTTCCTCTCAATTTCTCGAAACATTTAATAAAAAGGCTGGCTTTTTTTAGTTAAATCGTGTTAAGGAATGATTGTTTCATTGGCGCTGATGATGTGGAAAGGATTGATTTGCATTACCGGGAGCAAGTCGCCGGTCGTGGTTGTACTATCAGGGAGCATGGAACCTGGTTTCCAACGAGTGAGTCATTTTTTACATGCATTTTCTCCTTCTTTTTTCATTTAATTTTGATTAGTGATAGGTAAAGAATCTAATGTAAATTTGAATACTTTTGAAATGCAGGGAGATATCTTGTTCCTATACATGAATAAGGATCCTATTCGCACGGGACAAATCGTCGTCTTCAATGACGTACATCGTATACAAATTATACACCTGTTTTTTTCAACTATTTTCATGTTTGAAGCTTGTTTTGCTAATTCATATTTTCTTGTCTATACCGAGTAGGGGCCTGATATTCCGATTGTTCATCGGGTGATCGAGGTTAGATCCTGTTGAGATTTTATGTTTGGTTCTTTACTCTGCCTGTTTGCTTGTTTAAATGCAGAACAAAACTACATTAGTTCGGCTCGAGTGTGAGTGTTGGATACGAGTCCAACACGGATATGTTTAGTACTTAAATTATCAGTTTTTAATCCATTTTTGTATCTAAACTTTCAATTTTTTCAAAACCATACCAAATATTTAGTTTCTATTTCGTTTCAATACTCAATAGTTAAAATCTTAACGAGTTTAATACCTAAATTATTAATTTTGGTCCGATTTAGTAGCCAAACTTTCAATTTTTTCAAACACTTAATTTTCTTTAGGAAATTCAAAACTTAATGATAATTTTTTAAATAGGGTACTAAAATGAAACAAAACTAAATTTTATAATTAAAAAAATTATGTATAAAACAGACCAAAACTAAGTTAAATACTACGCACAAAATTTACCCATTTATATCAAAAGAATTTTAAATTTTGTAAATTATATTGTTAGTCACTGGGTTTTAGAATGCTTGTACTTTAGTCACTAAGCTTTTAAAAATTACATTACAGTCATTAAACTTTTAATTCACCTTCGTTAGTCACTGTTGTTAAAAAAAATACCAATATGCCATGTTAAAATACACTTAAAAGATCATAATTTTCTAAATTGACAGTCTTCACAAAGGTGGTTTCTAATGAACAAAGTGATCATTGATCCATCCTAATAGTAAGAAGATTTCATTTGACAAGAATCGTAACATAATTCGAGTTATTAACTACTACATGTAAAGTAGGTTAATCATGATCATCTTCAATATATGAAGCCATGATTCACACTTCGAATTTCACAATACCAACATCGCATCGTGTTTGAGAAAACAGAAGCCAAAAGAATCAGGTAACAAAACTGAATATTGAAAAGGAAGCATATAAAAGAAATTAATTATCATCCTAGCACAATCAAGAAAACTCAACACCTACAATGTAGAAGAAACCAAATTAGCTTAACCATATAGTGGCAATAAGAACTGACCACCAGAAAGTAACGAACTTCTTTCAGAGTCTCAACCCTGCACTTCTCCATCCACAACATCTCTTTCTTCAGCAGAAGCTGCCATTAATTCATCAAAGTTCTTCGTCTTCCCCAACAATATCTCAATCTGAGAAAGAACATAAAAGCATATCAATCAACACTAGATGCTAAAATGACAAACCGTGACATTACAGTGCCAATGACGTTATGCCTTTATGGTTAAATAAGCACCAATACCACAAAGTTCAGTGCATGAAAATTCTAATACTGAATTTTTCTATATCACTTCAGATTTTAACTTGGAGTGAACAAATGTATCTCAGCTTGCAAATATGTTTTTGAAAAACCACGGTTCATCCAGATGGAGGCACTGGGAGCTATTGAATTGATTTACCTTTGCTTTTTGGACAGGCCGCCCTCTCACGTCCTCCTTGTCAACTGTTGAGGTCATGATCTCTGCAAAGGTGCAAGTTGATTACGTAATTATCGGGACTTGATGACCATATTAACACATTTTTTAAAAAATATATAAACAAAAGAAAAAGGGAAGATATCTTACTCTTCTCAACAGCTAAGCCATGTTTTTCAGAATTTCAGCAATTGTAACAACAGTTGCAATAGCTGCACATTCAAAAAGACAAAAAAGAACGAGTTACTACAATTATCAAAACTTAGCATACAAAATTGACCATAATTTAGTATCTGTTCAGAATCTTTCCTAGCCACTGACAACGAGCACGCACCCTGCAGACACAACTAGTCAAACCTCGGAACCTCTAGAGAGAACAACACTCCATTTTATCACCAAGGCCACTCAAAGGGTTCATAATTAGCAAGTTAAAATGCTAAAATCACAGCTTCAAATTCAATTTTGGAGCAGCAGTACAAAAATCTAAAGATCAAACAACTACAGCAAGTAAAAATCATTACATTAACTCCCCCTCCCATATCCGTTCCTTTAGAAACTAAGCTATCAATGCGTCAAAACAAAAGTTGTGATGAGAAGACAAAAACAAACATAAATTCATATCTGAGAATAATTCTTTAATTATAAGATCTGAAAAAGTAGAAAAATGATACTAAAAGTAATGAAAACATAGAGCTGAAGAAGTAAAAGTACCCATGCCAAGGGCAGATAGCCCCACTTCATTGTGCTGTTGCATATACCTCTGCAAATAAAAACAAAAAAGGGTGTATCAGATACTGATTTAATTTAATGCATGAACAAAGAAATAAACCCTATGTTGCAAAATAATGATAGAAACTAATACCCAGAAATTCAGAAAGCGGCAAATACAGAAATAATCGGAAAACTGAAAAAGGAAAAACCTTGGCGAGATTAACATAGAAGAACAAGGGTTTTTTGGTATTTGAGACTTGAATCCGGTTCTTCTTATAGGAATCGGCGGTCAAATTGATGCTGTTGACACCTTGGATGATTTCTTCCATTTTGGGATTCCGCGATTAAAACCCTAACTTTCAAAATCTCTGTCTTTGACTCCTCGAATAGGATGAAATCTGCAGAGTAACAGTCAAGTGACACAAATCAATAGGAGTTTTTCCGAGCTCTGTTTTAAATTTGGTCGAATAGGCTGGTAATCACTGGCTAGGGTTTATCACTTTCTTTGTACAGACTTTTAAGGGAAAACTATATTCATGGCCACTACATTTTAATAGGTATTCACTTTGGTCATTAATGTTTCAAATATTATACAACTAAATTGATGATGTAACATATTAACAAAAACAATAATATCTAATTTATACCTAAACTATAATTATAACCAAAGTTTTGATTTAATCTTTAAACATTTTTTAATTATAATTTTAAAAAACGAGAAAAAAAACTTTCATATTCTACATAATATTTAGTTTAGATCTTTGATCTTTTAATATTGTATTATTTAAGGGTAAACTACACATATAGTTACTAAACTACTAGTTTTGGTACTTAGTACATAAACTTTTAATTTTAAAAATCATAACTAATGTTAGTTTTTGTTCATTTAATACCCACCATTAAAAATTAACATTTTTAGTGCCTAGACTATTAATTTTGGTCCTTTTTAGTACTTAAACTTTCAAATTTCTTAAAACTTAACGTTAAATTTTGAGCAGGAGTACTAAAATGAAATAAAAACTAAAATTTACATATGGTCTTAAAAAATTGAAAGTTTAGGTATTAAATCAAACTAAAACTGATGGTTTGGGTTATCGTTTCAATTGAAAGAAAGGATTCAATTTTTTAATGTAAATTTTATCTTTATTTTTCTTTAAATCTAAGACTAAAATATATAGTTTGTAAAAAGTTAAATTTGTTATTATATCAAATATGACCTTTTTTTTAGAATTTTTAAGTTTAAAATTATAGTAAAAAAATATGTTCAAGGATTAAATTGAAGTTTTAGTTATTGTTTATGTAGAACTTATATTTTTAAGTAATATGTTTGAAAAAGAGAAAATAACCTCAGTGACCAAAAATCCCAGATAATATACGATTTTGACCAACTTTTTTTGGATTTGCGAAAATGACCAACAAAATCGCAATGCGATCTCTTATTCGCATTGCGATCTCCACTATCGCAATTCGCGTTGCATTTCGCGTTGCGATAGTTGAAAATCGCGTTGCGATTTTCCATTTCGCGTTGCGATAGTTGAAAATCGCGTTGCGATTTTCCATTTCGCGTTGCGATAGTTGAAAATCGCAATTCGCGTTGCGATTTTCCATTTCGTGTTGCGATAGTTGAAATTCGCGTTTCGATTTTCCATTTCGCGTTGCGATAGTTGAAAATCGCGTTGCGATTTTCCATTTCGCGTTGCGATAGTCTACAGTCGCGTTGCGATTTTCCATTTCGCGTTGCGATAGTTGAAATTCGCGTAGCGATTTTCCATTTGCGATAGTCTACAGTTGTCGTTGCGATTTTCCAAATTCGTTGTGATAGTTAAAAAAAAAGATTTTGTTTCTTAAGAATTTTCTCTAAAAAGATAGTATCCGCGCGGACGTGTCGAAGACGTATGACCACGACCACGACCACCACGACACGACCCGACCGACCCGACCCGACGAGACGGACGGCGGCGGCAGCGCGCGAGAGTCCCCCTTGTTCTCTATCACTCAACAAGGAAGTGGGAAAGCCAAGCCTTAAATACCATTCCCAATAGTGTTTCCAATACTATGTGGGATTTGAGCATTACCAACACTTGTTCCCAATACTATGTGGGATTGAGCCTTAAATAGTGATATTATTTTTGAATGTTTTGCTTAAAATTGCAATAATCGCGATTGATTGTAGATTGACTTTTAATTATGACATATTTAATCGTATAATACTAATGTAATTGGTTGTTGATTCAGTTGTTTTAAGGTGCATGATTGTTAATTGTTTCCTGAATAATCACATTGTATTGGAAACAAGTATTGGTAATGCTCAATCCCACATTATATTGGAAACACTATTGGGAATGGTATTTAAGGCTTGGCTTTCCCACTTCCTTGTTGAGTGATAGAGAACAAGGGGGACCCTCGCGCACCGTCGCCGCCGTCCGTCTCGGGTCGTGGTCGTGGTCGTGTGGTCGTGGTCGTGGTCGTGGTCGTGGTCGTGGTCGTGGTCGTGGTAATACGTGTCTTCGACACGTCCGCGCGTATACTATCTTTTTAGAGAAATTTCTTAAGAAACAAAATCTTTTTTTTTCAACGAATTTGGAAAATCGCCACGACAACTGTAGACTATCGCAACGCGAAATGGAAAATCGCAACGCGAAATGCAATGCGAATTTGTGATGATGGAGATCGCGTTGCGATTTCAAAAATGGAAAATCGCAACGCGATCTCTAACTATCGCAACGCGAAATGGAAAAACTCAACGCGATTTTCAACTATCGCAATGCGAAATGCAACGTGAATTTGCGATAGTGGAGATCGCAATGCGAATTAGAGATCGCATTGCGATTTTGTTGGTCATTTTCGCAAATCCAAAAAAAGTTGGTCAAAATCGTATATTATCTAAGATTTTTGGTCACTGAGGTTATTTTCTCTTTGAAAAATTTAATTTCAAGAATGAAAAAAGGGGAGCTTTAATATTTTCCTAATAATTCTTTTTTTTATTAAATGTTTTAATAAGGAGGGGTTTTTTGTCAAAAACTATTTTTTAAAGGTTTTGATGGGAGATTGTAGAACTTATATTTTTGATATAACAAATAACGGAAAAATGTTTGTTGGACTAAATTGAATTTATTCAAAGTTTTCAAAAATAATTCAAAGTCCAATCAAAACCTTAAAATGAGTATTTTGACCAGAAGTTTCAAAACTTCTACAAGTGTTTCGAAACTTGAAGTTTCGAAACTTTCCAAGACAGTTTCCCAAAAAGTTTTAATACTTTTCAAGAGTTTCGAAACTATCTTAAGAGTTCCGAAACTTTCCTTAAAGTTTCAAAACTTTTGTGTGCAAAAAGTCTTCCAACAGCGTCAAACCTTCCCAAACAGCTAGAAACGATTAGTAATTAATTACAACATATAAAAATAAGTTCAAGACACTTGAAGAAGGTGAACAATACCTATCAAAGCAATCAAACACAAGAGAAAAATTCTTTAATCTTATTTTTCTTTCTTTTGTAAGTATTAGTGTTTTAGTGAGCTTAAACTTTGTAAACATCTTCCTTTTTAGAAGTTTTATTGTTTACAGTTCTTTTCTTTTGTAAAGGGGTTTAGTTCTAGCTAAGCATTTGAAAAGTTAGAGAGTTTGTAAATGTTATATTTTTATCATTGAAAAAGAAAGAACAAATTAGTAGATTTGTTAGAAAATCCTAAGTGAAGAGCTTAGGTAGTAGATGTAGAATTCATTGAGATAGTTGAACCACTATAAATCAGTGTGCAAATTTTCTTATCTTTATATTCCTTAATCTCTATACTTCAAAAAGTCAATTAACCCCATCTTGGCATATTTTCAGTTGATCGATCGAGGCTAACCGTTTAAAGGCCAATTTAGATATTAGCATTTTCTGTTAACGTTTCTATTCATCAAACAACAAAATAACCATTTTGTGATTTATTAATAATTTTAAGGACACGAACCAAGTGACTTCTAGGGTAAATGAATAGTTATTATTCTTTGAGGGCCCGGGTTCAAGCACCATAGATGGCAGAGGTGTGAGCTTTCAATGTTGAAAGGTTGAGAGTTTATCTTTGAACATATATTGCCTTGTATTTACCCTAGATTAATCAATAATAATAATTTTAAGGGTAAACTACGTATTTAGAACTTTTAATTTTTTCAAAATCATACTTAAAGTTTAATTTTTGTTTCATTTTAATGCCCTGCTGTTAAAAACTTAACACGTTTAATACTTAAACTATCAGTTTTGGTCCGTTTTAGTACTTAAACTTTTTTTTCCCCAAAACTTAATATTAAATTTTAAATGGGTACTAAAATGAAACAAGAGCTAAACTTTAAGTATAGTTTTGAAAAATTGAAAGTTAGTTATCAAAACATATTAAAATTGATAGTTAGATATCAAATCAGACAAAAATTGATAGTTTAGATACTAAACATGTTATTTACCCTTATTTTAATGACCATAACTTAAATATAATATCACTAGAACTTTAATGAATGTGAGGTGTAGATTACCCTACTGTTTTTTTATTAATCTAAGGTAAATATAAGACAATATTTGTTTTAAGATAACTCTTTACTACCTTTTGACATTGAACATTCACACTCTTGACATATATAATACTCGAACTTAGATCTTCAAGGAATAACAATTCTTTTACTACAGAGGCCAATTGGTTTAATTATGAGGCCCTCAATTTTTTTTAGAAAAACTCAATATGACCCTTAAATTTAGAAAAATATTAACTCTTCGATTGACGGAATCGAACGATGACCGTCACGCGCACGGAGGAACCCAATTCTCTTTTAGAAGTGAATACATGGAACAAATACGCCTTAGCAAAAAAAGATACATTTGAAACATATCTTGAAAAGCCTTCAACCATGTCGAAAAATATGTGCCTTAATGGTGAAAGAGCTGAAGAACAAGTGAGCAAGCTTTTTCAACTTTCTACATTTTAACAAGCAGTGTATTATAAAAATGTTTGTAACCCTCGCACTAATCTCCATTTCATACCTTTCAGTGTGTATCCGAATCCTTCAACATCGACATGCACCTACTACGATGGATTTTCCGAGAGTTACCGATAGGCATGAGGAAACAAAATTTACAGTCATCATGCTTGGAGAACCTGGCAGTGAACAATGTGGCTCTTCAGCCGGTTCCGGCCGGCGAGGCTAGACCAAAGGTTCGTAAACAAAGTCTTGAATTGACCCTTCCCTGCTATAGTTTCCCATAAATGTTCAACAGTGGCTCCCCTCAGATCATCGGATTTCAAAACATCGACCAGAGATACGCTCATATTATTCCGAATGATGCAGAGTTTACCGTTGAGTGGAAAGAGAGCTGCTGCTTCCAAAGCTCGAGAATTCCCCAAATGTATCCTACCGTCAATATGCTTACTCCAAGAATCAGTCACTTCGTCGTAAACCCTCAGCTTACAACCATCCTTACACTCCAAAGCATAAAGATGACCGCTTAAAGAAGTACAAGGGTTCCGCCAGCCTGCAACCATCCCGTTAAAGACGGGTTGCCAACTATTGGTTTCGGGTTGGTAGACTTCACTCATCACCTGTTGGTGAGATCCAAGCCCCTTCAAGAACCACTTCCCCTCGTATACAACCCCAATGAAGGGCAGCATTGCCGTGCTCATATCTGAAATATAAGACCATCTATTCTTGCTGGGATCATATACCTCGGCAGACCTCAATGACCGATGTACCCCTTCGTTCTCGCCACCAGCAACATACAAGCAATTGTTTATAACACATGAACCAAAGAAATGTCTTCGACGAAGCATATCTGGGGCACGGTGCCATTTGTTTGTCCTGGCACTGTAAAATATGACTCGTCGCATTGATCCCTTTAAGGGATCCTTACCACCGAATAGATAAAGGTGACAACCACTGAGGACAGCACATCCGAAGCCAAGGGCTTCGGAATATTCCTTGGGGACAGGAGGGAGTGGCTGCCAGAGCTGGTATACGGGATCAAAGGCATGCCAAGAAATTTTTCCATCTCGATCTCTGTTAATAATGTATATCCATTCTTCTGCAATTCCAAGGTTCTTACGGAGTGAATAAAAGAAGTTACCAGACAAAAGTCTATACCATCTTTTGCAGACCAGGCGGAGCTTACTGTGCTCAACTCGTGGGACACGTATTAGGCAAGCAATAGCGAGATCATCGGGGAGTCCAGGGAGCAGAGGAGATTGATAACGGCTCCTATCACCGCGTGTTGGCTTGCTCCTTGTTGGATGAATAGATGGTTTAATATCAGGTCGGAGACACATCTTTGTACCGGGTACATATCTTTTCGCTCCAGAAACAGTCTTGAACCCCGCATCTACTCTACATAAACAAGCCGTTGAATCAACCTGTCCAGAAACAGTCTTGAACCCCAATATTATAATACTACATCACTAGTTGCGTCTAGTTTACAAATACAACCTATATATTCTAAGTTTTGCTAAGCTTCACCCTCTATCTCTAATAGCTTTGTTAAACTATCTCTCATTCTTTGCTTTTCTAAGTTTTTCCTCATATTCCTTCTCTCTTTAATAGCTTTGCTAAGCTATTAATCATTATGACTTTTCTAAGCCTTCATTTTTCTCTCTTTGCATTACATTTAAAGCTTATCTACACACATATTTATAGGTGTAGTAACCGACTTATTTTCAGCTCTGTGGATACTTCTCAATTTCTCTCTGCCTCCTTAATACTTGCTTGCCTTAATTAAATTTCATGCAATCTTGATTTTTTAAAGTCCATTCTTATTTGATAAGAATTGTTTGCTACTAACATTTGGTGTTGCCACGTTTTTTTACTTAATTATTAAGCATGCACTTTGCTTAATAATTAAGCATATTCTTTTAACAATTTTTTTTTTGACTTTTAATATTTAGAAATCAAGTTTGATTTCTAACACTCCCCCTCAAACTTGATTTTCCATTCTAAGCTTTTCTTTAAGTCGGTTGAATATATCTGCTATCAATGGTTTTGTGAAAATATCTGCTAATTGATCTTCAGTTCTGCAGTCAATTAGCTCCACAATTTTGTTTTTCGCATGCTCTCGTATAAAATGATACTTTGTATCGATATGCTTGCTTCGGCTATGGGAGACTAGATTCTTGGCAAGGGAAATTGTAGACTTGTTGTCGACATAAATTGTGATTGGTTCTTCTTGTGCCAAATTTAGCCCGCTCAAAATATTCCTTAACCACATTGCTTGGCAAGTGCACGCTGCTGCGGCTATATATTCTGCTTTGCTTTTTTGACACCTTGTAGAGATTTTTGCAAAATCTCTCATGCTTGTTTTACGGTCTTCGCATCAGAATTTTTTTTCAAAGGTAGATTCTTCTACTCCTTGAAAAATAAAGAACAACGCTCTTTTATCTTTTTTTGAGAATTCCTTTAATACCTTCTTTTCTTCATTGGTCAGGACTGCTTCTGCTACTGCATTTTCAAGCTCGGTGTAACCATTCTCGATGATATCCCAAAAATCTTGGGAGCCTAGTAACATCTTCATTTGAATGTTCCAGTTGTCATAATTTGTCTTTTTCAATCTCGGGATTTGTGGTTGAATCATGTTGGCCATCTTCTCCATCACGTTAAACTCGAACCAAGCTCTGATACCACTTGTTGGAAGCGTAGGTGGGCACTCGAGTAATTTTTAATTCGAACTATTATTGATACGAGGCAAAATACGTTATAACTACGTTACCCCAATATTACAATACTACAACACTAGCTGCGACTAGTTTACAAACACAACATCGCTATTCTAAGTTTTGCTAAGCTTCACCCTCTCTCTCTAATAGCTTTGTTAAGCTATCTCTCATTCTTTGCTTTTCTAAGCTTTTCCTCATATTCCTTCTCTCTTTAATAGTTTTGCTAAGCAATTAATCATTATGGCTTTTCTAAGCCTTCATTTTTCTCTCTTTACATTACATTTAAAGCTTATCTACACACATATTTATAGGTGTAGTAACCGACTTATTTTCAGCTATGTGGATGCTTCTCAATTTCTCTCTGCCGCCTTAATACTTGCTTGCCTTAATTAAATTCCATGCAATCTTGACTTTTCAAAGTCCATTCTTATTTGATAAGAATTGCTTGCTACTAACATTTGGTGTTGCCACGTTTTTTTCCTTAATTAAAGAAATTGTTATGAGATTCGGGGTAAATGTGATGCTGATGTGAGTAAAATTCATGGTTGAAGAATACTAGATCTCGAGTGCATGACCAATGTCAATTTCCTTGAAGCTAGTCTTCTTAATTCATCGAACTGAGGATTCTTGGGTGGAACAAAATGAAGTCATGCATGGCTAGGACCTTTTCTTTGGTTAAGCAAAGCAAAGCATTAGTTTGTTTATTTCGATGTTGTTGATTGTCTGGAGATTAGGACCTTTCTAAATATATATGATCGAACCTGCATTCTGGTCTGTGAACAAGGCTGCGTTTATAGTTGCACGAGTTTTGCACCGGTTTGCAAGCAATCTTTTAACGCCTCCCCTGTTCAGTGTTTGCTTCTTGACTATCGAAATAATTATCTCTTGATTGATCTTGTTCTTTAAAATAATGAATGCACAGCATGGTCTGCTGTTAATATGCTATTGTCTTCCCATCTTTCAAAGTTATATTCCGGAAAATTATTGATTGAAACAGATCTAGCTGGTGGATTAGCTTATACTGATAACCTATTATCAGCTGCACCTGTGGTCTACTTGGGGTTGCTTCTGTTGTTCCTGGTATCAATAACTAGAAATAGTTTACGTCATTGAGAAGAATCGAAATTGCCACCATCAGAAGAGCTTTAATCCTTTGATGAAATACAAAGCAGTTTATAAGATACCATTCTGATGAGATACACTAATCTCTGGCTTGTAGATCTATATCATTTTAGTTTCCATTTCGATATTTTAGCAGAAACCAGCTGACAGTTTGTTCTTGTAGACTACTCGAGTTAGATTTGTCTTCGATGACAAGTCACTGGTTAGTCCATTCTTGTATACTTCCTTCATTGTTGCGGATTTGGCGCTAGAATTTCTCCACTTACGCATATGTGAACGGCGACGTTTGTGATTTTAGGAGGTGAAAGTAGGGGACCAGCTTCCGGATTCAGGTGAAAATGTCTTTGTGGGTGGCAAAAACCGTTGGAAGTAAGACACCTTTCCAATTTCGATCCAAGTTCGAAAATGGTAAGCCACTTACCTATCTATTTTACCACAGGTACTCAACATTTGTGAATTGGGAACTTTGGTGGCCAAGTTTCCCCATTCTGGTGTATTTTAAGGAGACTCAGACAAAGCCTGAAGGACAGGTTCACTTTTTCCCAGTCATTTTTGTAAGTGTATCTTACTCATCTCTCTCGTGTCCGCGTATTTGGTTTTGACAAAACTCGAGAGACGAAAGAATACCTTTCTGTTACTCGAATATTATAAGCTGTAAATACATGTTAATACAATCCTTGATCTGTGATTATTTTTTCTTTGAATATATTCTTACAACTAGAACGGAAAACAACTCTACGACGTAATGGTAGAAAGAGCCTATCCTTCGAAAACTAGCGGTCCAAAATAATCGAGAAGATTTGGACTTATATGATGAGAGATTCCGAGATCAAACTTCAAAAGCATAAGGTTTGAGTTAGTCCCAATTCCAACAGGCAAATCTTGTAATGATTTTTACACTAATGTCTTAAACCTTGCTACTGCAGGTTAAAGCTTGCCATGCCTGTCATTTATTTGAAGCATCACGAAGTCTAGAATGCACCTGGTCTTCATCATCAGATCTATCATATACTAGTTCACAATTTGTACTGTATTCAACTATAAAAAGAGAATGGTAACTGAAAGTGAGGCTCTCTCAGTACAACTCTATCATAAACATGAGGAAATGTGTACTTGGATAAACTGCATCCACTGTGGGCTGAGAGATGGCAAGCCAAAGAACAGATTTGCAGTTAGGTTGTCATCGACGGAAAATTTTGTGGTACTTGCATTAATTCTTGGTGCAGTGAGCATCTGTACCATGCAGGGTGCAATGAGTATAACCCAGACTACTTAGGAAGTCCCTTATCTCTTTCGCCGTAGTGTTACTTGCTTGCAACAGCCGTTCGTCTTCCTCGTAGATTAGATAGGGGGCTTCGCCTTTTTTCCGGGACAATAACTTTTCGGCTCCCTTCATTACATGATACTCCCATCCCTGAACATCGATTTTAAGTAGAAGCACTGGCTCTGACTCCGGGATTACTTCATCCAGAAGGATGGACCTCACTTGGACTGCTATTTCTTCATTGGACTTGAATGCCAGCTTCGCACCGACGGCAGAAACGGCACTGTTGTCAAGCCGGCCAACCAACTGGAGAAAAACGCAAAGGTTTTCACATGAGAAGCAAAAAGGAATGATAATACAGTAAAAGAAGGAAGCAGTATATGAGAATGGATAAACAATAAATCCAAACGACAAAATGACGACAACAGATAATCTATAAGGCAAAACCATATCAATTATCTTTTTTTCTCTCAACCCAAATCCCCAAAGCTTACCATGTAACCTGCTCTCTCATTCGTCCATCAAAATTTACTAAGATTCGTAGAAAAGTGACTAGCAATTGTGAAATCATAATCAAATTATCACACCGGTTTATCTTCAAGCAATGAGCACAACGTCTGCATAATCGAAATTGAGGCTCTCAGTACCTAGGAACATCCAAGTTTGATCTTCTACTATCCTGAAACTATGACCCCCCCCCCTTTGTACCAAAAGAGAAGAATCCAAGTTTTAGTATCCCAAAATTCCATTCTAAATTGAATTCATGAGCAATTGTCATTGATGATCTCAACCCAAGAGAGTTTATCTGGCCCTCACCAGCTATTGGATATAATCGATAGTAAGCTAACCATTGACTTGAAACATAAGGTAAAAAAATAAGGCAAGTTCTATAGGTAAAGACCGGAACAGGATTCATTGAGAGCAGCTGAAGCACCTAACCTACAAAGGAAAGGGCAGTTGCACAAGGAACAAAATGGAACTGTTCTCCATCCCAAATATCACATGGAACAACCAGGAGGTTCCTCATTTTCATAGAGCAGTTTTTTCCAAATAGTTTGGTTGATTACAAGGTAATATATGTTAAGAATTTTTTATTAGCCAATGATAACTTTATACACACCCTGCAGCTACTTGAACCCGGATCCTCAATAGGTTCCATTTTCATAGAGCCTTAAGAACTCAAAATGCAGCAAATGAAAATTGTTTCCAAAGTATCAAACTTGCAAACAAGTTCAACAGTTTCACTAAGTTCCCATTTTTAACACCTCATAAGCCACCTCTATACTATCGTTCAGTTAACAAACATAAATATACATTATTTTGCTAAGCATAAATTAACACTAAATTATAAGCTCACTAATCTCAAAGCTTGGTGCATCAAATCGGCCTAAAGAAAGCCATGAATTAGAAGACTCGTACTTTATGGAAAGTAATATTTCCATTACGATCAGATGCGGCTGCTTCAAAAACAGTAATAAAATCCTCAATCCTATTAAACCAAATCCCATCACAGATCCTCTGCAAATTCTCCAGAACCGGCTCAAAAGCCAACACCCTGAACCCCATAACAGCTGCCGCGAAACTCGCCATCCCGACATTGGCCCCGACATCGACGAAAAACCCATCTTTGTTTTTCCCTTCCAGAAATTCCTGAACGGTGGCCGATATGTCAGGCTTGCGAAAGGGCTTACCTTTAAGAAGTCTCACGATGTTCTTATGAGGCTTGTCGGGGAGGGAACCTAAATCAGCTAGGGAGTAAATGAAAGGGTGTTTGAGATTTTCTACGTTGTTTGCAATGATGGGATGGGCTTGCGGTGAGTTACGGCAGTTAAAAGGAGGGATTGGGAAATTCTGGGCATATTTTTGGGCGCTATAAGAGGGAGTTGTGGGGATAAAGGTGGGGTTTTTAGGGGAAAGCAGAGAGAAACAGAGGTAGACGAAGAGGGTGAGAAGGAGGAGAGGAAGGAGGGTTTTGGGTGAGAGGAACTTCTGGGCTTTGCTGCTTTCTCTTTTCCATGCATTTGCCATGGGGATTTAGTAACTTTCTCTTCAATGCATTTTCCAGGAAAATTGTGGAGTTCGATAGATCGGATCTTTGGAACTGGGGAAAATCTAGCCTGGGCTTGTGAGCTTTTGGGTAAAGGTATTAACTCTTGTCTTGCTGCAGTAACATAGAAAAAAGGGTAAAATTACATTTAGTACTTATACTAGTAGTTTTGATCCATTTTAATACATTTTTTTAATTATTTTGGAGTAAATACAAGACAATATCTATTCAAATATAACTATCAACAATTGACATTGAACACTCAAATTCCTACATTTCTGGTACTCGAATTTGGGACCTCAAAGAATAACAACAATAGCTAAGGTTTATTTATTTTATTTTATTTTAGTATCCCACCATTAAAGTCTAGTATATAAACTACCAATTTTGATCCATTTTAGTACATAAACTTTTAATTTTTTCAAAACTTAACGTTAAATTTTGAACGAGAAAAACTAAAGTTTTTAACAGAGGGTACTAAAATGAAACACAAAGTAAATTTAAGGCATGATTTTGAAAAAATTGAAAGTGTAGGTACTAAAATAGACCAAAACATGTTTTAGGTACTAAACGTGTAATTTACCCTAGAAAAAAATTAGCCATGGAAATCGGAAAAAAAAAAGAGAATTTGGAAACGTTACTATGCTCTTCCTCTCTGGGGTTGCATTTTTCACATTCTACATTCCCTTGATTTCCATTTCTTTCATGATTCATCACACAAATTCAGGAGCAAATAAATGTAACTTCTTTGCTTCTGTTTTGTTTATCTTTGAAGCTTCCCAGAAATCATCAATCAAGCTCTTTAAACTCTTCTTTTTCTCTCTTGTAATGGCCAATCAACTCAACTTTAAAGTGCAGTTTCAGTTCATTACAAGGGACCATTTATGCAAATGGTGAGTTTTCATAACATCTTTAAATCTTCGAGATTAAATGCAAATGCTCTGACGTTGTTCTTTCTGAATCCATTTGCAGGCAACTTGTTTTGCCTTCATTGTTCTGAATCTTCTGAGATGTCTTGGATTTTGGTGCTGTCGGAGGTGGAACTGCTGATAGTTCTGAGGTAAATTCACTTCGTTTTAGTTCAGTTTTCACCCCAAATGAGAGTTCGAGTTCAACATGTTCATTTAATCATTTGTTTCAGGCATTTTCGAAGGCATGGAGTTTGGTATGTAGCAGGGAGGTTGAAGATGGTTAGTTCCAGAGAACCAAACGTTCTTGTTGCATCCACTCACTTTTAATGGTCCATGCAAAGCTAAAGAGATCAAGTTTCATGTATGGCCAAAATGAACATTTTCCCAGTTTTTTTCCCTGTAAAAGACGATGTGATTCTTACTGTAACTTATCAGATAATGGGGAGAATAATATCTCCGATTTCACCCCAGACATGGGAGGGATTCGATCGGGGACGATGGCTAATGTTTAACCGAGTTTCAGGGTTCGAAATCAAAGGTCGAAGCGAGATTGACGGACGAGGCTGGGGTTGGTGGAACCAATCATGCAGATATCATCCACACCTGGTAGTACCAGTTGTGTCATCTCCTGAAGCAAAGTTCGTTTTCTGATTCGCACCAACAGTAAGTAGATTTCTGGATTTTCATTACGCTTCTCAACACCAGTGAAGCAATAAGATGATTCCTGAAGTTCAGCTCCCGTGTTTGATGCATTCGCAGGCGATGATTTTCGAGTCCTACCAAACCAGCAGTCTCAGCCAGGTTCGAGAAGATACTAATTTTTTACCCATATTATTATTATTATTATTATTATTATTATTATTATCATTATTATTATTATTATTAAATATATATTAAATAAATCTATATAAATAAATAATTACAGACCAATTACAACTGGACCGGCCCAGTTACAAACAAACCAGAACCGATCCAGATTAAACCAGAAACCCTAAACATCTGGGGTTTCAGTTAGGGTTTCCTAACCCTAATTTCCTCAGCCGCCATCTTCAATTCCAGCCGTTGGATCTGGTTTGATCCAACGGTCCACAGTTTGCCAGAGGAAACCCTAGGGTATCTATACCCTAGGGACACGTCCCAGCGCCGCCGCTGCTGCTTCCAGAAGCCTTCACCGCCACACCAACGTTCCAGCCTCCACCACGTCTACCGAAGAGTCCAGAAGGCTGGCCGTAGCCGCACACGTCTCCCCCAAACGGTGAGTCACCACTGGGAGTCCGGTGACTCACCAAAGAGCATTCTTCGGACCGGTCTGAGACGAACACTGGTGATGGCTATAAAGCCATCACCCCATATGCAAGCAGAAAAACCAGAGACAGAGGGAGAGATACAAAGAAACAGAAAAGAAAGAAAAGAAAAAGAAAGAAGAGAAACTTACTGTCATCGGAGAACCCCAACCGCCACCGGATCTCGCCAGAACCTTCGAAACGCCGAAGGTATTTTTGTAGATTCGCTCCTATTAGGAGCTTTTTAAGGGAAAAGAACACCGGGACCGTCCTAAGGACGGTCCGATCTATCTATTAGGGTGAAAATAAATTTTTCCGGCCACCAAATGCGGTGGCCGGCGGTTGCATTCACGGCGGCACACGGTGGCCGACCGGTGATCGGCTTCCCTCCGATGAGGGAAGCTAGAGAGAAGGCAGAGAAATTTGTTCTCTCTCAGTTAGAGAGAGAACAGAAATGAAAAAATGAAGGCTGGCCCTTCGGGCCAGCCGGTTTTGGACCATATATAGTCCTTCCCGAACGACGTCGTTTTGGGAAGGACTATGCGCGTAATTATAGAATAGTTAAACCACGTCCGCAGTCATCCCAATTTGTAAACTTTACATTTTAGTCACTAAATCAAATTTATAATCCTTTTAATTTGGTTCTTTAATTTTAATTTTATTCATTTTAGTCCTTTATATTAAAATAATATATTTAGGATAAATAACAGATTTAAACCCTTAATTTTAATAAATAATATTTTAATCCTTAGTTTATATTTTTAATTTATTTTATTATAATATCCGAATTTTAGATAATTTTATTTTAGTCACTAAATAAATAAAATAAAGAAATAGCATGTTTAATCCCTAATACTTTGATTAATATTGAATTAAGTTTTTAATTTTACTATAATTTAGTCATTTAATTTATAAGTTTTCATTTATTTTATTGCTTTTAAAATATATTGTTTTAGTGGTATTTTTATTGTTTTAATTTTATTTGTTTATATTTTTAAATATTTTTATGTATTCATAAATATATATATAATAAATCTGGAATAAATTTTTTAATGTTTATTTTTAATATCAAAGAAAAGGACAGTCTTAATACAACTGGATGTCCTATTCTGATATTTTTTAAACAATATTATTTAAATTAATATTTATCAATATCAAAGAAAAGAGCTGTCTTAAGGCACCTAGAAGTTCTTTTATGATATTTTAAATAAATAAATATTTTTTTATATATAATTTTGAAATAATAGGATTATAAATTAAATATATTTTTGAATTTTTATAATTTTAATAATAGAGACAATTTATAATTAAAAAGTACCAATTTTGGGCGTTGTAGGGGTGCTAATCCTTCCCTAAACGTAACCGACCACGAATCCCTTTTTATTATTAAGAACGAATTTTTGGTTATAAAACGCAGATCAGTTCATTTTTTTTAATTGATGTTTTTTTAAAAAAAAACTCTTTTAAAAGAAAATTTTTTAGGTATTCGACCTACCTGATCCAAAAGGTCGATGGCGACTCACAAATTATTTTCAAAATTATTTATTCACATCAATTTCCCCGCCAAAAATAATATTTCGTGCCCGGACGAAAACCGGTTACGACAGCTTGGCGACTCTGCTGGGGATCGGTCAAACTTTTAAAAATCAATTATAAATTGTCTCTATTAATTAAAAATTAAAAGTTAATATATTTAATTTTTAATTCTTTCTTTTCAAAATTTTTATATTTGCTTATTATTTTGATAATATTTGTATGTTTTATTTTATTTGTAAGTATTTTATTTCATTATTTATTTTTCTGTCAAAGGTTTGAGCATTTCTCCTCACACACAACACTTGCATTGCATAACATAAAGCTCTATAATTGAGTTGTCCCTTTTAAGTGGGAGTGAAAGCGACGTCTTCGTGAGAATTTATTCTCCGTGTCAGACCTAGCAAGTAACTTCCGGGGTTCATATGCTCTATGTCTTCGTGAGAATTTATTCTCCGTGTCAGGCATAGAGAAATGTATCCCCTCGAATTGAACTCGATACACTTTAGTCTGTGATGGACTAGTATTGAGGGTTAGCAACCCAAGGGGGCACTAACAAAGACAATTCGGGTACCTTGATTCTTAGATTTGAAACCCTGCATATAAAGAACCTTAGAAACTCTTCCGATCAGAAGTCATGCCGAAATTTTGTCCAAAATAGGTGTACACACAGGAGAAATGAATTCTGACTTTCCTGTTAATTTATTGTTTAAATTACATGTTTATTTAAATTATTTAAATTCAGAAAAGCATGTTTAAATAAAGAATATTTATGTAAATGTTATTATTGAATTTTTTATTATGTAAACTAATTTATTTTCTTGTTGTGTGTTCTTTATTTTTCTGTTTGCATATCATCATACAGGATAAAAGACATTGATCCTTGTGTTAATTGTCTCATTGGAAAGCCTTCATCCATGGATAAAAAGGGTTCAAATCAAGTAATTCTAAACTCAGAAGTAAGACAGTGGGCTGAGAATTTACAAAGACAAGAAGGAGACAGTCTGCAGGATGATTATGTATCTGACTTGGCCAGTTATGCTTCAATTTCACTAAAAAGAAATGATATGCAAGATTTGCGAAGCATTTGGGAAAGTTGGGATTCAAACAAAAAATTGCAGTTTTATCAGACTTACGGAGACATCCCATATTTGCTCTATGTAGAAGTTGATGATGAATTATTCCGAGCCCTAATTCAATTCTGGAATCCAGGGTACAATTGCTTCACTCTCAATAAGGAAGACTTGGTCCCTACTATTGAAGAATACACAACTTTGCTACATATCGAAGGGGCTTTGGATAATCGAATCTATTCAAAGTCAATTAAAACTCAACCCTTTCGAGTTAAATTAGCAAAGATTGCTGGGG